GTTTAATGAGTTAAATAAACAAAATGCATAGCAAAAGTTATAAAAATTAAGAACTAGCCTGGAACCATCCATGTGCCTGTACTGCCTTGAAAGCAATCTCTTCCATTTTAGTGAGCACATTTGTAGTGATGTTGGATGCTTTATTGCAACGAGCAACATCAAAACTCATATAAGCGATATGCTCGGATGGCGGTAAGAACTGGTTCAAATAGTTAACAGCCTGAACAAGATAGATGCTTCTACAATTAAATCAAATTCTACATGTAATACCTTCAGAAACTGATCGTGTAGCAAGCTCTCATGCCTGCGCTTTTCCCTTCTTTTTACTAAGTTCATGACTATGATAGGGTTGCCATATTTGCTTCTTAAATCGCTGAAACATCCGCTGTTGTGTTAATTGCTTAATAAGTTGCACTTAAGTACTTAATTTTAAAAAATTGTTCTGGTTAATTACTTAATAAGTTTGTAGCGATATGCTATGACTGGAAGATTAAGAATGCATTTGGTTATTTCAAATTCGTTTTCAAGAAATAAGATATAAAAACGTAGATTTTGACAATGTTTAGCCTCCTCCATCTTACAGATTTGCAACGTTTAATATTGTTGATTTTGTCATATAATTGTGTACACCTAAACTATATGAATGGGTTTTTTGTTACGAATTTCTTTTAAGGAAAAACAAGCTCAAAATGAGAAAGATTTAATGAAAGTAACTGCTTACCGGAAATGTGCAGCAGCCGTCTGTGCATGTGGCTCATGAATGTCGACCAGTATAAGAGGTTTGCCAACAACACCTCTAGTCGCCGGATCTTGCGACCATCTAGAATTTTCTTAATTGAAAAAATTGTCAGCTTTGATACAACAGAAAAACTTCTAATTTAAAATACCTTAATGGAACTGAACCGCGCCGCTGCACAAATGAAGAAAAACGTCCAAGTCTGAAGTTTGGAGAGGAAGAAACATCCCACAAAACCTGCTCCGTTTCAACGTCATTAGCAACACTCCCTAAATCCCATGTGCGGATAATTGAAAGCTAAAAAAAGAGAATGAAAATGAGGTACCTTGCAGATTTGCTCCCCTCTTCAAAAATCGTGTTCCTGCATATTGCGAGGAGCGCCGACCAATCAGTGTTAATGATAACTTTGTGAAGGGCAGATTGATAAGTTGCTGTCCTTAAATAAATATACATAATGATAGTTGCAGATCACAAAAAGCAAACCTACCTACATATCCATGCACAATTTCCAGAAACCATCGTTCACTAATTAGATTATTGCGCAAAGGTTCGAGAAGGAAGCTGTTCCATATGAACTTCTGATCTGAGTTCAGCAAACGTTGCCCATCATGATCCCAATCTGCTGACAGAACGTTTTCTTGAAGTGAACGACTTAGGTCGTAAGTGTATGAGAAGTAGAAATCCGTGGAAAGGTCGAC